AATTTAAAAAAAAACGAAATGAGTAAACACATAAACACACACACTTAGAAGCGAACTCCCGTAATCAATTTTATATGAGTGCACACACACACACAAATTGAACTTTCATGTTTTCCTGCATATGTTCATACTTAATTTATCCCTGAAGGACACATCTTTACTGGCCGCGACGGCATTGTCAAGAATCCAACGTCTTGAGGAAAGTTCACCGTCTTTCCCCCATCCCCCTTCGACTCCCCCCCCCCCCCACACACACACGCATTTCTTCCAACTAATTATTGTTTTCCTAGCTGTATTTACACGCGCTGAAATCTTGATCTATATGGTTTCGGTATTTGTGTAATAAACTGTCTGAGAGAAGGGATATGGGTGGTGAAGGGGGGGAGGAAGATGAAGGGGAACTAAGGGGATGGGGAAGACAATAGGGGTAAGGGGGAGAGTGGAGGGACAAAGAGCAGGAAATAAGGGGAGTGGGTCAAGGGGAAGATGGGAGAAAAGGGCTGTAATGGGAGTGGGGAAGAGACAGACTGTTCCAGGCACCACCAGGTACCCTTCCAAGTATAGTGTAACTACACTTAGGTAATTACATCGCTCTGGGTTCATAGTCTTGAGGGCCCGGGTTCGATTCCCGGTCGAGGCAGAAACAAACAGGCAGAATTTCTTTTACTTGATGCCTCTGATCATTTAGCAGTAAAAAGGTACCTGGGAGTTAGACAGCAGCTCCGAGGTGCATCCTGGGGATGTGTGTGTGTGTGTGTGTGGGTGTGAAATATGTTGTAGATATGATAGAAGAAAACTAGGTTGGGAATCACTACATTAGACAACCGACGGTTAGAAAGCCGGGATTCAAGAGCTAACAGTTCGACCCTCCAGGCAAATATAGTAAATACACACACACACAAAATTGGAGACGGTTCAAAAGCATGCCACTAGGCTGGTACTCAAGCTGAGGGTAGTTTATAGTTGATCTCGTTTAATTTGAAATAGCTTAAGAGTCTTTTAAGAAACTCCGTAGCATATTTTCAATAAAATAAATAAAGATTTATGCAGTTCTATATACAAAGCTTGAGATTGAGAGCACACGATACAACAATCAGTAATTTCTGCCCCCACCGGACAATGGCTGCGCATACTTGGCACACACTGGTTACAGAGATCCTGCAAGGTAATTATAGTCTTGCCACAGGTAGTGTAACTTCACCCACCCTCTGCATAAACCTGGTAAAGTGTTTATGCTGTGTTAGTTACTACACAGACAATGGTAGAGCTCTGTATAAACACGAAGATAGACTCACATGTCATATAATCATGAGTGGAAACTTGATAATCTCAACATGCTAACTTAATCATTACAATTTCATAACACGTTAAAAAGAAAACTTAAAATCTTAAGCACACGAGGAGTCACAATAACGTAGCTGAAATATATTGACCAAACCACACACTAGAAAGTGAAGGGACGACGACGTTTCGGTCCGTCCTGGACCATTCTCAAGTCGCGTGTGCCCACAATCGACTTGAGAATGGTCCAGGACTGACCGACACGTCGTCGTTCCTTCACTTTCTAGAGTGTGGTTTGGTTAAAAATCTTAAAGCTGAAGAGTAAACTAATTAACAAATTAGTATACAAACATTCCTCAAGACGGCATCGCCAAAAATATTTGACCAGTCATTTTCCTTGCTCTGCCTCCAAGACGTCTCAGCCTCAGGTGCCATTGTTGCTGTAATATATATTTTTAATAATTCTTATATTAGAAAATAAAGAAGTTGTATAATATATCTCTGCATATCCTTCACTAAACGTTAACTGCAAAAATTCATTTTTTTTTTTTTTTTTTTTTTTTTTTTTTTTTTTTTTTTTTTTTTTTTTTTTTTTTTTTTTTTTTTTTTTTTTTTTTTTTTTTTTTTTTTTTTTTTTTTTTTTTTTTGAGATATATACAAGAGTTGTTACATTCTTGTAGAGCCACTAGTACGCGTAGCGTTTCGGGCAGGTCCCTGGGATACGATCCCCGCCGCGAAGAATCGTTTTTTCATCCAAGTACACATTTTACTGTTGCGTTAAACAGAGGCTACAGTTAAGGAATTGCGCCCAGTAAATCCTCCCCGGTCAGGATACGAACCCATGACATAGCGCTCGCGGAACGCCAGGCGAGTGTCTTACCACTACACCATCTTACCACATGGTGGTAAGATGGCCACCATGATATTGGCTTATTGATATTGGCTTACCAATATCACATCTTACAGCTGTGTGTGCAATATTTAGTTGGACTTATTCCACGAATCACTAAACACGATACCAATACTCTAGTACTGGATCCGGGGTTCACTACACCCACAGCCCGGTCTCTATTTTGGTCTCGTGCTGGAGACCTGAGCTGCCAAACTGTTGGTGCTTGCAGCTCGCAGGACATAGGGGTCCAGTGGACAACTTTCTGTTCTAACGACCAATCACGACGTGTGTTTATTTCCCGTGGGCTCTATGTTTATTGAGTTACCTTAAGAGCATTCTTTGCCATATTTCTCAATTTAATCCAATATATTATAATCTTTTTACATTGTAATATTTACATTTACTTTTTTTACATTGTAATATTTACATTTACATTTTTTTTACATTGTAATATTTACATTTACATTTTTTTACATTTTAAATTTACATTTCATCAGATTACAATGTATAACTCACCTACGTTCCAAGGAACGCAAAATATGATAAGCATTCCAATTATTTGGATATTTTGCTGATTTGCTGATCACTAATTATTGACCCTGACTGGATTATTAGGTTTATGAGTTTTAACCAAGCTATACATATATGCCAATGATGGAGTTACTGTCATGATTTTTTTTATTAAAAGGTTATTACCTTTCAACAAATTTTTCATTTTTTTAACTACTATTAACAGCATCTAAAGGGATCTTATATATGTATTAGAATCACTTAATAACACATTCATTTTTTCTATATAGTCACTTTTGTTCATAATTAAAACAGCATTTGATTTGTTTACTTTAGTAACATGTAATTTTGTTTTCTTCTTTAAGTTTTCGAAAGCTTTAAAGAATCTCTGTGGACAGTGTAACAATATAGTTTTAGATATTGCACCTTACTATCAATGATATCAATGTATACCTTTGCATATATTGATATCATAATTGACAAGACACTGTTGTTGTTTTTCCCAAATTACAAAAACCTTTAGCTATTTCAAAGACTTTTTATAGTTCTTATGGCACTGAAACTTAGACCATAACCAAAAGCAGTAGTGGTGTTTTTGTCCAGGACTGTATCTTGCGGTTATCTTGAGAGAAGATTTCGGGGCTTTAGTGTCCCCGCGGCCCGGTCCTCGACCAGGCCTCCACCCCCAGAAAGCAGCCCGTGACAGCTGACTAACTCCCAGGTACCTATTTACTGTTAGGTAACAGGGGCATTCAGGGTGAAAGAAACTTTGCCCATTTGTTTCTGCCTCGTGCGGGAATCGAACCCGCGCCACAGAATTACGAGTCCTGCGCACTATCCACCAGGCTACGAGGCCCCAACTTTATCACAAAGTTGCTATTAGCATGTTTTGTCCGTCACTTTTATATTAAATTATCTAGTTTAGGCTTCAGTTGTCTTTGTAGATCATTGCACGCATTTCTTAGTCTATGATAACAATAATGATATAAATGTTGTTTCCATTCAACTGGTATGGCGTACTCAAAATTGTATCTTTTTGACCTTGTTATTTTGAAAGTCTCTGAAACTTCTGTTTTTGAGATTTCAATGTGCTTTTCTAAAATTATATTTTGAGATGCATCAAAAGGGTGATTTCTCAAGCTTAGGATTCTATTTGGCAATGTCGATTTTGGCAAGACTTGTTCCATTGAGTCATTTCTAAGGAACTGTAGCTGAAGTTTATACCTGGCCGCTATACAACATCATTCACACTTGTGGCATCATAAAGTGCACATGCTATATATATATATATATATATATATATATATATATATATATATATATATATATATATATATATATATATATATATATATATATATATATATCACTTTCCTTTTTTGCCACTTCAGCTTCCATACTGCTAACACGAACCTGTGTTGCTTTCTGTAGCCTCGGCAGATGCTGGCCTCTGAGTCTCTAAGACATACAGTTTGATTCGCTCTTGACTCATAATCGGGAATCTCGGGTTCGAATCCCTGGGGGCGGGACTGAAATGGTTTGGCACGTTTCCTTTCACCTAATGCATATGTTCACCTAGCAGTAAATAGGTACCCGGGAGTTAGGCAACTGTTGTGGGGTTGCTTCCTGGATAAGGTCAGTAGTTCGACTTCCGGGAGACCTCAATTCACAAGTGCATGTTGAATGTAAATAAATGTGCACACATTTATTTACATGCAACACAACTTAAATGATATTCAATAAATATTTTATTCCATTGCATTTGTATTATTCCTTGTTAGTTAGAAGAGATATTTCGTTCTCCCCTGTCAACATCTTACAGTAAATTTGGACTGCTTGCACGTTGATAATCACCTTGTCCTTTTTGCCTTCTTTATAACTTGTCACACACCGCACATGGAATGCTATAGTCACAGCCAAGGAGGCCTGGTCGACGACCGGGCCGCGGTGACACTAAGCCCCGGAAGCACCTCAAGGTAGCCACCTCAAGGTAGCCTTCCTTACTATTCTTACCTTGAACGCTGATATTGAGTTTCTTCAGTAGAGGAAGCTTGCATTGCAAGATATGCTTATAACGTGCATGTGTGTGTGTGTATGCATTGCAAATGCATGTTTTGTATACATACACAAACAATAATTCAAATTTTCCCATATTCACAATGCTCAGTTGTAACGTCCAGTGTGTAAGAGAAGAATGCATCTGAGAGTACTGTGGTCCTCAGCTCGAAAAGGAGATGGTCATTGTGATCGCTTGCTGCTATTTTTGCTTGGTACTTGCTTGCCAGTTCCCCCGCCCCACTCACCCTCCCCCCCTCCCCACCCCCCACTTCCCATTTGGTCTCGGGCCTAACTGACCTGGTCCGTTGCTTGCTGGTCTCCTTCAGACGCGCTCCGGTGGGTGCTTGAGACGGTGGTGTTCTGGTGGTAGTGCAGTGAAGCGTGTCGTAAGTTTTCCTTCGGGAAGGGGGCGAGGGGGGAGTAGTTTCCGTCTTCGTAACCCTGTGAATTGTTTTTTTAATAGTTTTGATTGGCACGCCATTTTATATAACGTTGTTAGATAAGAAGCTACTTGCAGTCAACTTTACATTTGAAAAGTAAAGTTTACTTCAATGCGTCAGGTCACTAAGAGTCAAACAGTCTGCGGTCATTCAGCAAATTACGAAAATATTATAATGCGATTACAGTAAATAGTTTCGCGAGCTGCTATTTGTTTTCCTACGTTCTAGGAGTGCATCATATGGATTCAAACCCAATGGCAACGCTGTGATCACTTTGGAAATGAAATGGCTCTTTTTACTCGTCTTTCTATGGTGACATGATATGACTAGGTTCATACACACAGGTTGTATGAACTAAGTTCATTTTCGGTCTTCCTCTCACGAGCATTCAAGTTTCTGGCTCACACCGGCATGTGTGATTGCTATCGCAGTAATATTAAAGACATTGACTAATATATTTTTATAGTGCTGGACTGCATATCATTGAACTGCATTTCCCTTATTGATCGCACTTTGCGATATCAAGACCTTGCGGAAAGGTTCAACTGCCTGCATTGATAATGCCTGCGGTTCCAATGCATCATCGTTATAGTTAATATTATTACTGTATTTTTTTATTATTATATTTATAATCAAATTATTTTCGTTTATTAAAATTAGGACATAAGTGGAAGGCGTAGGTGATAAAGGTAGTACAATATATACCTAAACTGTGCTGTGGCACTTGATATAACATGGTTTCCTCCACCAAGGGAGCCAGTCGGCCGAGCGGACAGCACGCTGGACCTGTGATCCTGTGGTCCTGGGGTCGATCCCAGGCGCCGGCGAGAAACAATGGGCAGAGTTTCTTTCACCCTATGCCCCTGTTACCTAGCAGTAAAATAGGTACCTGGGTGTTAGTCAGCTGTCACGGGCTGCTTCCTGGGGGTGGAGGCCTGGTCGAGGACCGGGCCGCAGGGACACTAAAAAGCCCCGAAATCATCTCAAGATAATCTCAAGAAACCAAGTGTTAATAAACTCCTAAGTTACTATTTCCACGGTCACTTAAACATGATTACATATTTTACCACATTTTTTGTAATTCGGTTAATTTGATATGTCCTGAAAAGAATCTAAATGTCTTTGTGGGCTTACGGGGCTATTCATGCCCGTGCCATCTCCTGAGTGGCTTAATCTTCACGAATCAATCAATCTATGTGGGCCTTTATCATCATTTTTTGATAGCGTTAAAATTAATAAGTGTAATTTTAATGGCATTAAGAAATAGTCGTTAATGTAAATATTTACGTTCTATGAGGTTTTTAATTATAATATTATCAATCTTACAATGATAATATATTATTATAATGAGCAGGTTATAATATATTTTCACGCTTTAATGTTCCGCACGAGCTTCTAGGTTAGAATATTACCATCTCTCCAAGCTCTTTTTGAATACTTGGTCAAACGCAATGCGGAATTATAAGTTGAAACATAGTGAATGTACACTTAAATAATAATTAGCACTTGCATGTAAAGTTTAGAAATGTTATTGTGTTGATGGATTAGATTGTAAAATCTCATTAGTGTAGTTGCTGAATGAATTTTAGATCTAAATTCTGTAACTTAACGAGTTTATTTATGTACAACGATAATTTGATTAAATTTAAAAATAATGTTGTCTAATAGATCTGTAATGTAGATAATAGCGTCACAATCCCCAATGATCAACTTCATGTTTCCTCTTACAGGATAACTCGAAAGAACTTTACCATCGAAGTTTAAGACCTACTTCGACAACTTTAGGCACCCACCACCAACATGCCCGGCCACGTCAAGAAGAGCACGGGTCCTGACCCAGACCCCACCGAGTTTTTGTTCATTTCTAGGGAGATGAGAATAAAGGATCAAAGCAAGCCATACGACGCGAAGAAGTCCTGCTGGGTTCCACACCCGACGGAGGGTTTCATCGAGGGCTTGATTACGGGTACCAAGGGCGACCTTGTCACAGTTGATGCCGGCGGTGAGACCAAGAACTGGAAGAAGGATCTTGTTGGTCAGGTCAACCCTCCCAAGTACGAGAAATGCGAGGACATGTCCAATTTGACCTACTTGAACGATGCTTCCGTCCTGTACAACTTGAAGGCCCGTTATGTTGAGAGGCTCATCTACACCTACTCCGGTCTCTTCTGTATCGCCATCAACCCCTACAAGCGCTACCCCATCTACACCAACCGCGTGGTCAAGATCTATCAGGGCAAGAGGCGTAACGAAGTACCTCCCCATCTCTTCGCTATCGCTGACGGCGCCTACATGAACATGATGCAGCGTAAGTACTTAATTTCCAAATGTCTAGAGGTCATGGAATGTTTATTTTTGTTTTCACACAGCCTGAAAACGAAAATTACAAAATGAATTAACCAGTTGTTTTCACTCATTCATTGGGTATACTCAAAGAATGTAATCAAGTGGTATACGATACTTGCCATAAAAAACAAATATATATATTGCAATAAATTTAATTATTCAACCAAATCCATCTAATTTCTGATTATTTCTCTCTTTTTAGTTGGTGATAATCAGTCGATGCTTATCACGTAAGTTAATCTACCGACGATCATGCGTACCTAAACACAGTCATGCACACACACACATACACACATACAATCATACACACACTCAGCTATACATATCCACACAATCATAAGGTCCCCATGCACAGTCATATACAGCCACACAGTCAAAAACACCCTCACAATCATTCATATGTACACACTGTCATACACAGTCACACATACACTCCCACACAATCATTCACACCCACATAATCATATGCACCCACACAATATACACATCAACAATCATACACACACCCACAAAATCATTAACACTCGCACACATTCATACACAAGCACGTCCATGATCAATACACCTAAATGTACACGACTTCATAATTATCAAAATATGTAAATTTAAGTGTAGTAAATAGCAATATCATTTATACTTCCATGTATTCCTTTTAATCCTGTAATTCTAGTTTTCTATTTCCCTCCCACAGCGGTGAGTCCGGTGCCGGCAAGACTGAGAACACCAAGAAGGTACTCTCCTACTTCGCCAACGTCGGCGCCACCGAAAAGAAACCAGGCGAAGCAGCCAAGCAGGTAAGATTATTTCAATATATTTTAATTGAAGTTAATTGAAGCAGGCATCTGTTTTCTTTAAGATTTATTACCTTGGCTGCTAGAGTTGGGTTGGTGTTGAGCTTAAGAACTGTCAACGTCTGGAGGGTTATTAAGGTCAATAGAATTTTAATAGTTTTACTGACCAACCAGCAAGTATACTTAAGTTCTTAACGTAGTCCAGAACTAGAGTAAACTCAGTATAAGTATACCGATTAGCGAGGTATACCATGCTCCTTAAGTTAAAACAATCTCACACTCGAATAATGTAAATTTTAATAATTTTTGCTTTGGTTTTTGTTAAAAAATTGTATTTTTGATTGTTGTTTAGTACTATTCTGCATCATTATTAGGGATTTATTTTCGAAAACCTGATACTAAAATACCTTTTTGAATTGTTACTTCAGAACCTGGAGGACCAGATCATCCAGACCAACCCTGTACTGGAAGCCTTCGGTAACGCCAAGACCACCCGTAACGACAACTCCTCCCGCTTCGTGAGTTCCTCTTGCTCACTGCTCTTATACACCAGAAATATTAGTGCTCATATATCAACAAATTAAACTAACTTGTGACGTTTGATGTTTTATCTTCCATGATTAGTGATGGATTATCTGTTCCTAACACAGGGCAAGTTCATCCGTATCCACTTCCAACCCAACGGCAAGCTGGCCGGTGCTGACATTGAGGTCTACCTGCTGGAGAAGGCTCGCGTCATCTCCCAGCAGCCTCTTGAGCGCTCCTACCATATCTTCTACGAGATGATGTCCGACCAAGTCAAGGAAATTAAACGTAAGTGTTTTTGCATAATCACAATTATCTATATGTTTATGATCAATATTATTACCCTGAACCTATATATTTTAATTATTAAAGATTAATATATATATTTCGTGCAGAGGTGAGCGTTAAAACTCTTTTAGATCAAGTTGCAAAAATATCTAAAGCCTTTAAAGGTACCGGACATATTCATTCTGTTTTAAGTCTTTGCTCGTAAAATTCGCCCAATCAATACACGTTCAGTACGTCCATGGCACTGTATGCCTAGCAGTGACGTCATATTTAAGATTACACTTAAAATTAATTTTTGACAAATCATACTTTATATGATGTGTCAAACTCATAATTGTTTATGCTAGAGTTAGATTAGCAGTAACACCTTGCTGAAAATGAAATATTTATTTCTTTGCAATAAATATTTATGAATAAAGTCTGGATGCCAACGCATTTTAACATTATTTAAAGACGGTATACCTTGGGTGAGCTGGCGGCGAAGTGTTGACAACGATATAATGACAAGTTGAAAATAGACTGTATTGTAGCTAACGTTTTTACTCTAGGGTTTGGAAAGGTTTCATCAAACGTTATTGTAGGCAACGTTTGGATAGTCGGGGGCTTCAAAAACGTTAGCGTCAATCGTCTACTAACGTCATTGCCAATAAAATCTTCTCTTAGCTTGATGTGTCTCTTCAAGATATACATCACTCAACAAACCTTAGGTCCCAGCGCTGGACCACCCGCCCAGTTTATGTCATAATAATAACAATACTTTCTTGAAGCATCATTCACGCCTTGCTAATACGAAAATTATCATATTTCCAAATTTCTATATTATATCCCTTCTCATTCCTCAAAAACAATACAGACAAAAATGTTTAATCTGATTACTTTCATATTTTATCATTTAAATAAATGTTTTCTAACTTACAGCAATATGGGAACAACATTACTTTCTCCTCCGCTGATGAAGCAGAGAAAACTTCTGTTAAGTGAGTTGTGTTGTTGCGTAGGGAAGCTCCTCTTATGGATTGGTTTGAATATCGAGGAATTCTAAGACGATTAATCGATATTCTGTCCCCTTTTGTTTTATGTATTCAGTTTTAAAACTCGTTGAAAGTCCAAACCTGAGAGAATAATCAGCCGGACTTTTTATATTTACATTTAAAAACAACTTCGATTGGATCTTTCAATATAGCGGTTTGACTAAATTTTTACAATGGCCACTTCTAATCATAATGTGCAATGCTAACACGGAAGATAGCACACAATCATTATTTATTTGGTACGAGATGGAATCCTGAAGATTAAGAAAGAAAATGGGCAAAATCAAATGTTATTTCGAAATTTAGGTACGATTACTTATATATTTCCTTCCATCTACAGCAACGTGTTTCCTCAGCAATGACATCTACGACTACCACTACGTGTCTCAGGGCAAGGTCACCGTCCCCTCCATTGATGACGCTGAGGACATGCAGTTCTGTCACGTGAGTGTTATTACTGAGCGTAGGAGTCAAACCCTATCCATCAGAATGTGTGTGTGTGTGTGTATAGGAGCCTTAATCAGTGGGTATTGGAGCCTTATCTAAACCATCAATGGGTGTAGGAGTATCCCCAGACCATCAATGGGTGTGGGAGTATCCCCAGACCATCAATGGATGTATGATCCTAACCTAAACCATTAATGGGTGTGGGAGTATCCCCAGACCATCAATGGATGTATGATCCTAACCTAAACCATCAATGGGTGTGGGAGTATCCCCAGACCATCAATGGATGTATGATCCTAACCTAAACCATTAATGGGTGTACGAGTATCCCCAGACCATCAGTGTTTGTCTACAGTGTTTGACCATCAGTGTTTGTGTGTGTCAGTGAGTCTAACCTAAACCATCAATGGGTGTAGGAGCCTTGTCCAAACACGTAAGGCGGCTTACGTGGATACTGGTCATATTTTGTGTGTGTGTGTGTGTGTGTGTGTGTGTGTGGACTACTTTGTATAACAGTATTACGGTAATTTTCACACGAAAAGTACCGTAACGTATTTCACATTTGTATAGAATAGTGAGATATAACGATAACATTCCCTCTCACCGAAAGGGCATTCTGTGGAAATATAAAACGTTATTGCTTGCGTCTCTATTACTTTATTTTACTCTCGTTATTTCTCATCTTGTGCGTGTATAACTCGAGGATATCATTCGTCTGACGAATTATAATTAAAGTAAAAGCTTGGGTAAATTGCCGTGACTTTTCAACATTTCTGAGTACTTTTGGTTAGGCTGTAGAGGTAGCACCTACGCAAGTTAAAGAATATCCAAAAATAAAGTTAGTATTTTAATTGTAAGAATACTACCGGGGCATTAAGTAAAATCAACCCATAAACACAAAATATTAAAATTTGACTTACATAGTCTGTATATCAAGTAACTTTATTGAAAAAGAACATTCTCTTGCCTCAAGCGTACGGTAGTTAGTTGAGGATTGTTCTCAATTGGAGTTATATGTATTTGTGAGTGTAGCAGAGTCGTTGTGTCTGTTGAACTCACACTTACTCTCCAGAAAATTACTATGTATTAAACAAAATTGTATTGTAAATTTTTAGCACGTTTTCACATAATTATCCATTTGTATAGAATAATACGATATAAATGCAAAATTATTAATCAGAACGGGCATTAGAATACAGCATAAATCTTTATACTATGATTTTATTTACCTAATTTTGATTACTCTAATGGTTTCTTTCAACTTCAGGACGCGTTTGACATTCTGGGCTTCAGTCCGCAAGAGGTTACGGATGTCTACAAGGTGACAGCCGCTGTCATGCACATGGGCGAGATGAAGTTCAAGCAGAGGGGTCGCGAGGAGCAGGCTGAGGCCGACGGCACTGAGGTGATTATAATTACAACTTTATTATAGTGTGGCAATACTTAGGTGATTCTGATCCAGTCATAAAGTATCCTTCATAGACTGTAATGTTGAAAAGTAACTCGCTGATTCCTCTTTATCAGGTTGGAGACAAAGTTGCCAAGCTTCTTGGCGTTGAGGGTGAGGACCTGTACAGGAACATTACCAAGCCCAAGATCAAGGTCGGCGCTGAGTTCGTGTCCAAGGGCATGAACGTGGATCAGTGTTACTACTCCGTCGGTGCCCTGGCCAAGGGTCTGTTCGATCGTGTCTTCAAGTTTCTGGTCCAAAAATGTAACGTCACTCTTGAGACTGGCATGAAGCGAGCCATGTTCATCGGCGTCCTCGATATTGCCGGCTTTGAGATCTTCGACGTGAGTTATATATTGTTTAGTACTGGTATGCACAGTCCAGTCATTGAACATTTGGCCTTTTTAAACTTTCAATGAGGGTTTCTCAAGTACATTTTCAAATGAAGGAATAACGGGAATATGGCTTTAATCGAAATGGTCATAAATTACTAGTATGTATGGCGTTAAGTTGAGGATTGCATGTTAGAATTATATAACAAGCTTAATAAAAACAAAATATTATTATTTTTAGTATCATTATAAGAATTAATTATATTCTATGTTTCAGTATCTTTATAATTTATGGCGGTTATTCCAGCTGCACTCTTACTTTTGGTTCGTATGCTAAAATTAAAATTCATTTAATCCAAACAGTACAACGGCTTCGAGCAGATCTGTATCAACTTCTGTAATGAGAAGCTGCAGCAGTTCTTCAACCATCACATGTTTGTGCTGGAACAGGAGGAGTACAAGAAGGAAGGTATCAACTGGGTCTTCGTCGACTTCGGTATGGATCTGCAGGCCTGCATCGAGCTCTTCGAGAAGGTAGCTTTCCAACAAAGTGCTTTGCGTTCAAGTTGAATCCAATCTAAATTTGATTACTATAAGAATTTATTTAAAGGGCATACTGAAATAAATCCTTTTATCGTTACCTGTTCCCCTTAAAAAAACCTCTACCCCGTTACCTCTAAAAAAATCATTGCATTACATTATTTTTCGTATTTTATTTTTTGCTACCTCTCTCACCTTATACCAATGACATCATTTACTTATCGACAGAAAATGGGTCTACTCGCCATCCTAGAGGAGGAATCTATGTTCCCCAAGGCCACTGACAAGACCTTCTCCGAGAAGTTGAACAATAACCATCTTGGCAAGACTCCCGTGTTCATCAAGCCCAAGCCACCGAAGGCAGGTCAATCCGAAGCCCACTTCGCCATCGTTCACTACGCCGGTACTGTGAGCTATAACCTGACTGGCTGGCTGGAGAAGAACAAGGATCCCCTCAATGACACCGTCGTCGACCAGCTCAAGAAGTCTAATAACGAACTTATTGTCACCGTCTTCTTAGACCATCCCGGGCAGTCTGGTACCGGTGATGCTAAAGGTGGTAAGTTTTCAGTGATAAGGCTATATCGTTATGCTTACGCATTATCCGTTTGAGTCATTGAACATTTACAAATTATAGTTTAAGTATATTGTTAGCTATTATCAATATAGTATGCAACATATACTTCCTTTGATATTTCTGCAAGTAGAACTAATAAGTATTTTCTTTCTTTCTCCACAGATTACAACATCCCTCTTGTATCTTGATGGAAGAAACACACAAGAATTTGATCATTTTCATAAAGTGAAACTTAAGAATAGTTTTCCCTGCTGCTATCTGTTGGATTATTCCTTGATATACGTTATTAATACCAAATATTATTTTATCTAACGAGCATTTGCTTAAAACAATGAAAGACAATTATAAAATGAAATCCAAAATAATTGTATAATACAACGAATATAAAATATTCTTTCTTATAGGTGGTCGCGGTGCAAAATCTGGTTCATTCAAAACTGTGTCTTCTGGATACAGGGTAAGTACATTTGTACCCAGCGCATAGGTTCGAATCCTTCTCATAGTTCCTACTGATGTTCTGAAGTATATTTGTCCTACTGTACTTACATGCTTCAAGTCACTAAAAAAGAAATACATATATGTATTAATCTATATCAAAAAGTACTTTTACGCTTCGCATTATCATTTAAGAGCTATCATCAGTATCAAATCGTAGTTCAGCAGCATTATTCCCAATCCAGCTGAAGAAATTCTGCGTCAGTTAACACCGTCTGCATTTTCATCTTCCCCAGGATCAGCTCAACAACTTGATGAGGACCCTCAACGCCACTCATCCCCACTTCATCCGATGCATCGTCCCCAACGAGACCAAGTCCCCGGGTAGGTAGCCTCATATAAACACTGTATCGTCCCCAACGAGACCAAGTCCCCGGGTAGGTAGCCTCATATAAACACTGTATCGTCCCCAACGAGACCAAGTCCCCAGGTAGGTAGCCTCATATAAACACTGTATCGTCCCCAACGAGACCAAGTTCCCGGGTAGGTAGCCTCATATAAACACTGTATCGTCCCCAACGAGACCAAGTCCCCGGGTAGGTAGCCTCATATAAACACAGTATTGTCCCCAACGAGACCAAGTCCCCGGGTAGGTAGCCTCATATAAACACTGTATCGTCCCCAACAAGACGAAGTTTCCAGATAGGTTACTAGTGGGGACACTGATAATATTCTCAGTCGGCATAGTTATTTACATTGCAAAAGGTTTTCTTGAAGACAGTTTTATCGTTCGAAAGAAATTGGTAAAGTCAGATATTAACTAGCGATATAAGGAAATAATAATCCAATGTTGTCATCAACAAAAGTGATTTACAGTAGTTTATGTGGAGCTCATATTTTTATATCATTAATGAATTTATTTAATGGATGATGACTTATAAGAATATTCGAGCATAATTCAAACTTCTCCTCCTTCAGGTGTGACTGAGGCCGGCCTTATCATGCATCAGCTCACCTGTAACGGTGTGCTTGAGGGCATCCGTATCTGTCGTAAGGGCTTCCCTAACAGGATGATCTACCATGACTTCAAGCACCGGTGAGTTGACTTAACTAAAGCTAATGAAAACAGTTTGCTAGATATTAATACGTATGTGTTTTCCAGTGTGTCGGCAACTCTTAACTATGCTTCATATACAGACTTGGTAACGAATACAATTATGGTTAAGTATAAATTATGGCATATTTCCTGTCTTACAAGTAAGTCAAAACAATAATTGTGCATATTCTATAAGTTCAGTGACAAAATATTGTAAACAGAGCGCTGGGTAATTCAATTCTTTAACAGATGTAAAGTGCCAAACTTCGTGTAAATTTTAGGTGATATTTGACACCAGTTACTTTACAGATACAAGATCCTGGCTTCCAAGGAGATGAGTGAGATCAAAGACGACAAAAAGGCCGCTAAGGTTTGCTTCGATAAGTCTGGCCTTGATGCAGAGCTCTATCGTCTCGGCAACACTAAGGCAAGTTCAGTTGATTAATCTGTTTATCAAATATTTCAGAAAGATATTTGTTATTCTAAATGTGACTTTTTGAGGACATACCAATTACACGAAAGCATTTCAGAAGCAATATACAGTAGTGTGATCTTAGAAAAGATCATATCTTGCATCCTTATTTCCAAACTCTGTCTAAGAATATTTTGGCTACTGTTAAATATTGATAATATTGCAAAAACAAGAAAATGTCCATGCGCCTTTAATCTTAATTCAGACTAAAGAATGTGATTAAGATAGTTATACTAACAACATTTCTTACTCTACTTTGAAAAGGTGTTCTTCCGCGCTGGTGTCCTGGGTACCCTAGAGGAGATCCGTGACAACCGCCTGTCTTTGTTGATCACATGGCTGCAGTCGTGGATCCGAGGCTTCAAGAGCCGCAAGTACTACAAGAAACTCCAGGACCAGCGTGTTGCCCTCCTTGTTGTCCAGCGCAACCTGAGAAAGTTCATGGTAATGCGCAACTGGGGTTGGTACTTCCTCTGGCAGAAGATCAGGCCCACGCTCCATGTTAGCCGCATTGAGGACGAGATTGAAGAGCTTGAGAAGCAGGCAGTAAAGGCTGAGGCACAATACGAGAAAGAAGTTAAAAACCGTCTGGAACTTGAAGCTACCAATGCTACTCTTCAAGAAGAGAGGAACAGTCTCCTGGTCGCTCTTGATTCTACAAAAGGTGGCGTGGCAGAGTTCCTTGATAAGCAAGCCAAGTTGCAAGGTCAAAAGGCAGAACTCGAGTCTCAGCTTGCTGTAAGTTTCACATATGAGTTTGCAAAATTGTCTTAATTAATTTAACTAAAACAAAAGTTAATGTTGTTTTTCATGGCGCATTGGGTTATTGATTTCATGTGAATATAAATTATGTCATACTTAAAATTCAGCCTTAATTGTTCTGCAAAAAACAGTTGATTTAATGCAATTGCTACTGGTCACTTATAATCTTGTAAAAAAAAATTAAATTGATTATTAAACCCTCTTTTTCGTGTTTTATTCGAATAGAAAGTGAGAGCTAATTTACTTTTTATTTTCTTTAATTCAGGAAGCCACTGAACGCCTACACAAAGAAGAGGAGGCTCGTAACTCATTAGCCCAAGGCAAGAAGAAATTCGAACAGGAAATAGGCAATCTGAAGAAAGACTTTGACGACCTTGACGCTAAAATTCAAAGTCTGGAACAGGACAAAGCTACTAAAGATCAGCAGATACATACTCTAAATGATGAGATTGCTCAGCAAGAAGAACTGCTTAATAAAATAAATAAGGAGAAGAAACACCTTCAAGAATGCAATCAAAAGACCGCTGAAGACCTTCAGAGCATCGAGGACAAGTGCAATCACTTCAATAAGGTGAAATCAAAGCTCGAGCAAAACCTTGACGAACTTGAAGATTCTCTTGAACGTGAGAAAAAACTGCGTTCCGAGGTTGAGAAGGCCAAAAGAAAAGTGGAAGGTGACTTGAAATTGACTCTAGAGGCTGTTGCTGATCTTGAACGCAATCACAGAGAGCTTGAGAATACACTTCAACGTAAAGATAAGGAAATTGCTTCACTTGCCAACAAAGGTGATGAAGAACAAGGCACTGCAATTAAGACCCAGAGGCAAATCAAGGAGCTTCAGGCTCGTATTGAAGAGCTTGAGCTAGAGGTTGAGCAAGAGCGCCAGTCTCGCGGCAAGGCTGAGAAGAGCAAAGCTATCTTGGCACGCGAACTCGGCGAACTTGGCGACCGCTTGGACGAGGCTGGTGGAGCCACCGCTGCCCAGATCGAGCTGAACAAGAAGCGTGAGACTGAGCTAGTCAAGCTTCGTCGTGACCTCGAGGAAATCAACATCCAGCATGAATCTGCACTTAACCTCCTTCGTAAGAAGCACAATGATGCCGTAAATGAACTTTCAGAACAAGTAGACTATCTCAACAAGATGAAGGCAAGGTAAATATTCACGAATTCTATTTCTGATGTTCACATAATGTACACATAGTGTTTTATTTAATTATATATATATATATATATATATATATATATATATATATATATATATATATATATATATATATATACATACATACATACATACATACATACATACATACATACATACATACATACATACATACATATATATATACAGTATATATATTATCATTGTTCTACCTCTTGATAGATGTAATTATTCTTGCTTCACAACAGGACTGAGAAGGACAAGGAATCTATTAAACGTGACGCTGATGATGCCAAGGCTGCCATGGACAGCCTAGCTCGGGATAAGGTAAACTTTAATATTCTTTTATAAAATCGTTGTTCTTAAAGATAGAAGGTAGTGCCGAAAGCCTATTGGAGGTAGCTCCAATTTATTCCCAATCAATACCACTCATGTATTTGTGTAATGCCCCATTTAAAACACACTAGCTGTCTTATGTCTCTTATGTTACTTAACATCCCTGCTCCACAACTCTAAATCCTTGTTTCAAAACCAGTATTTGTCTAATTTTATTCTGAATAAGCTTTTAAAATTTACATCTATTTTGAAACTGTACAGGAAATTTTCTTTATGTCTCTTTACTAGGAATGTTCATAATATTCTGAAACAGCATAACTGGCATAGTAGACAAAGCCCGATTCTCTATATTGCCAAAACTTATTTTTCCTTATATCTTCAAATATACTCAAATATTTGTTCAAAGCCAATCAATTTAACATTATAATAATTACATTGGTAACTAATTTATGTATATATATGTGTATATATATATATATATATATATATATATATATATATATATATATATATATATATATATATATATATATATATATATATATATATATATATATATATATATATATATTATGTCAATGATTGAGAGTTGACATAATAGGCAAAAACAAATCTTTCATGTTTTGTTTTTCTTGTAGGCTGCAGCTGAGAAGACAAACAAGCAACTTCAGCAACAGCTCGCCGAAGTTAACAGCCGATTTGATGAAGCCAACCGCACACTCAATGACTTTGATGCTACCAAAAAGAAGCTTGCTGTTGAGAATGTTGATCTTCTGCGCCAAGTTGAAGAAGCCGAAAGCCAGATTAATGCTCTGTCTAAGCTTAAATTGTCCCTTACCAACCAACTAGAGGACGCTAAGAAGTTCGCAGACGAAGAGGGCAGGGTAAGATATTGAATATATATATGGTATTTTACATATTGTTTCCCCTTACTGGTTTTACCAAATAAAAATAATGTATGTATTTCGTTTAATTTGTTATTTTTTTTCCAGGAGCGTGCAACTATTCTTGGAAAGTATCGCAACTTGGAACATGATATTGATACTCTTCGTGAGCAGTTGGAAGAAGAGGCTGAAGGTAGAGCGGATATCCAACGTCAACTTTCCAAAGCCAACGCCGAGGCTCAAATGTGGCGTGCCAAGTATGAATCTGAAGGACTTGCCCGCGCTGAGGAGATTGAAGTCTCTCGAGCGAAACTTGCTGCCCGCCTTGAGGAAGCAGAATTGCAGATTGAGCAACTGAATGTCAAGAACCTAAGTCTTGAAAAGAATAAACAACGCGCTAGCGCTGAGCTCGAAGAACTACAGGTTGCAGCTGAACGCGCTCATTCTCTAGCCATAGCCGCTGAAAAGAAGCAAAAGAACTTTGATAGAATAATATCTGAATGGAAACTGAAGGTTGATGACCTTGCAGCCGAACTGGATTCATCCCAGAAGGAGTGTCGCAACTATTCTTCTGAACTTTTCCGTGTTAAGTCAGCCCACGAGGAGAACATAGAAACACTAGATTCCGTTCGCCGCGAGAACAAAAATCTTTCAGATGAGATCAAAGACTTGCTGGATCAGCTTGGTGAAGGAGGCCGCACCTACCACGAACTGGAAAAGAACAACAAGCGCCTTGAGATCGAGAAAGAGGAGCTCCAAGGTGCTCTAGAAGAAGCTGAAGCCGCCCTCGAACAGGAAGAAAACAAGGTGCTCCGTAGTCAATTGGAACTCAGTCAGGTCAGACAGGAAGTTGACAGACGTGTCCAAGAGAAGGAGGAGGAATTCGATAACACCCGGTAAGTTACTTTATTAATACAACATGAACACATGCTAATTGCTTAAGCTAGTGTCATAATTTGATTATTTAACATTTATTAAAATACTTCTATCTTCCAGGAAAAATCACCAGCGTGCTATTGAATCTATTCAAGCTTCTCTGGAAGCCGAAGCAAAGGGCAAGGCTGAAGCTCTTCGCCAGAAGAAGAAGCTGGAATCTGACATTAACGAACTCGAGATTGCCCTGGACCATTCAAACAAAGCCAACTCAGATTTGCAAAAGCACATCAAGAAGCTTCAGATCGACGTTAAAGACTTGGAACTGCGCGTTGAAGAAGAACAACGTTCTGCCTCAGAGTACCGTGAACAATATGGTATTGCTGAACGACGAGCAAATGCTATAAATGCTGAGCTAGAAGAGTCCCGTTCTCTTCTGGAACAATCAGATCGTGGTCGCCGACAGGCAGAATCAGAGCTTCGCGATGTCCTGGAACAAGTGAACAGCTTCGCTGCCCAAAACAATGCACTGTCTCTATCCAAGAGGAAGCTGGAAGGTGAAATGACTACTCTTCAGGTAATTATTTATTCATACATTTTAACAGTTGCATCACTGACGCCGAATACACTAGACGGTAATAAAATTATATATTACAGAGATTAAATCAATCAAATAATTCCTTATTAATGATCATTCAAATAATAATAATAATACATCGAATCAGAAAAACTAAATTACTTAATATATTTGTTGAAGTATTCGGATGAAATTGGAATCCCTAAATTAATATTTGTACATATATATTTCTTACATATTTTAGGCTGACCTGGATGAGATGTTGAATGAATCCAGGAACTCCGAAGACAAAGCCAAGAAGGCCATGGTTGACGCCGCCCGCCTGGCTGACGAACTCCGAGCTGAACAGGAACACGCCCAGACCCAGGAGAAGTTGCGTAAGGCCTTGGAAGTTACTCTTAAGGAACTTCAAGTTCGCCTTGAGGAAAGCGAAAGTACCGTCGCCAAGACTGGCAAGAAGGCTGTGGGTAAGTTGGAAACCCGCATTCGTGAGCTGGAAGGCCATTTGGATGATGAATCCCGCCGTCACGCTGATGCCCAGAAGAACCTGAGGAAGTGTGAGAGGCGCATCAAGGAACTCACCTTCCAGTCCGATGAGGACAAGAAGAACCACGACAAGATGCAGGACCTTGTTGACAAGCTGCAACAGAAGATCAGGACCTACAAGCGCCAGATCGAAGAGGCCGAGGAAATCGCCGCTTTGAATTTGGCTAAGTTCCGCAAGTCTCAACAGGAACTGGAGGAGGTTGAAGGCCATGCTTAAACATGACCTCATTTATCAATTTATGGGCTCTAACATTATACGTATTTTTCTTCAGTTTTTCATGCACTTGATTTACAAACAAATATTTAGGTGCGTAATCAATGAATATGAAATTTGCAAATAATTTTATCATTGTTAAACTATTGTTTAATAATAAATGCTCATAATTATCCTTTTATAATTTTATCACCAGTTCTCGTTATATAGAAATAACATTTAAAACATGAAAATAAATAACAATTTTACTGAGTTTCTGTTTAAATGAAACCTCTCTTTATTAATAGTTTTTATTCGAAAAGGTGATTTTCCTGTTAAGGAATACATACAACTGTTGTTTTTATGCTTCCACCGTGTTGGGTAGCTCTGAACTTCCTGCCTGCCCCAACCCTGGACTGCGGGCCGGAACCCTAACACCCATTTCAATACACAGAGAAATCACAATTAACCTGATGTATCAATGAGATTTGTCTCATTATTTTCAATTTCAAATACGATACACATAACAATGGTCTTACACATGACTGCGAGGTACATGACAAATACTATACATATATTGTATTTACAATACATTTGACACTTGAAATACAAATGACAAATTGTCTTACTCATGAGGCTTGTAAGATACATAACAAATGCTGCGATGTTAATATAATGATTACAGTGCAGTTGATAATTACAGTACACACACACAACAGTTGCCATACACATGGCAATAGCAAAACATAATTACTATATACGATTGCCATACACATTACAAGAGGCTGCAAGCCAAAATACTTGTGATATATACATGTGGGAAGTTCCACAGCTTTTAATCTGAAAATAAAAGCAGTGACGACGTTTCGATCCGTCCTGGACCATTATCAAGTCTTGTAATGGTCCAGGACGGACCGAAACGTCGCCACTTGATAATGGTCCAGGACGGACCGAAACGTCGCCACTTGATAATGGTCCAGGACGGACCGAAACGTCGCCACTTGATGATTGTCCAGGATGGACCGAAACGTCACCACTTGATAATGGTCCAAGACGGACCGAAACGTCACTTGATAATGGTCCAAGACGAACCGAAACGTCACTTGATAATGACCCTGAACGGACCGAAACGTCGCCACTTGATAATGGTCCAGGACGGACCGAAACGTCGCCACTTGATAATGGTCCAGGACGGACCGAAACGTCGCCACTTGATAATGGTCCAGGATGGACCGAAACGTCGCCAATTGATAATGGTCCAGAACGGACCGAAACGTCGCCACTTGATAATGGTCCAAGACGGACCGAAACGTCGTCTCTGTTATGTCAGATGTGAAGATTGGGTGCCTAAATGATCAAACACGTTATTTTGATTTACGTCCTGTTTGTATGTTTTGCATTGATGAGGCTGTGTGTGTGTGTGTGGCTGATATGCTTCAGTTTAACAGTCAAGTGCTTTGCAATCATAGCATTGACCAAAAGGAGATTTATTTCCAAAAAAATAAACACAGGAAGCATTTCGCTATCCTTAGAGGGTGTTTAGGAGTTGTTTTTTGGGGGGGAGGGGATATTAAGGTGTCCTCATTAACGCATATTGGTAACGAGCGACATGGCATCTCTCTGATGATTGATTGATTGATTGATTGATGAAGATTAAGCCATCCAAGAGGTGGCACGGGCATGAATAGCCCCGTAATGTCTTTGATTGCTATTCACAATCTTTGTAGATGTTTTATAATCAACTAAAATGATGTATATATATCCTCGTTCATCACTGTATAATTAAAATATTTACAATTCTATTCTTGTTTCTTTTTATGTAAATACAACAAATACATATTTCGTGAAACGTGAACTGTATCTGTTTGTGGCCCTTGTACATTTTGACCAGAGACTGGCTGAAATACATGCAAGCTCCATTATCATTCGCCAATGTGACTGTAGCAGATACATGTTTTAATACCACTGATCTGAGCTGGATGAAAAGATTTCATTTTTCCTGGCCTTTGGTTAGAGAAGACTAACCAGTTGAGATGGACTGTCTTATCTTACAATGAGCATAGGAATGGGAGTCTGCACAGTGGGCACCACCAAAATGAAGACACATAACTGGCAGGGTTTCGCAGGCAGTCTTAACTTGACCTCATATGTCCTCAGAGGTGTCAAATTACTGTCTCAAGTTTATGTTCCCTCCTTGCGCCAGTGTTTAAAAGTTTAACCACGGAGCTTCAACTTGCCGAATTAAAGTGTTCTTTTGCACTCTTCGTTGCGAATGTGGCGATGTTTAGTCTGCCTGCAAAACCCTATCGGTTCGCTGCATTAATTATGATGATGCCGACCATACGTACTCCCACTCCTGTGCTCACTATAAGATAGTAATCCATCTCGAATATTTGTTAGCGTAATCTAACCAGTGGCCATAAAGCATGAAACTTCAGCGACTTTACATACGCGTGCGTTGTTCGTCAGGAAATATCGACCCACTCTCATTCCGTCCCCTGCTTCAGAATCGTGTACATGTACTCGCTATTTTGGCTTTGATTGATACGCATCATTCTCCAGCCCCCCTCTGCTGTCTTTGGTCAGGGTTTTCCCTCTCAGTCACCATCCCTACAACCCGGCCACTACCTTCCTGCCCTTCCCTGCTCATCCTCTTAACAGTGGTCCCGTCTCCTGCACCCGTGTCGCTCAACACTTATATTACCAATGTGGACACCTCTGAAATCATCCTCCAATCTGCCTTTTGACCTGCCTACTATCCTTGAGGTTAGAGCTGATGCCCACGTACGACATCGCAAACTACATTGCAACCAACGCTCTTTTCCTATCAGAAGCATATGTTGGATCATTCCATGTTCCTCCCTCCCTCTAAAGAAAATAAAACATCAAGTCTCTGAACCTTCCATTACGCTCACCCCTCAATTCGGAATCTTGTGACGGCCTCGTTCGACTCTTAGTGTTGTTCGGGAACAGTCCTGCTTACCAAAGTCCTCTCTACCTCTACTTTCTTTCCCGGCTGAGTCTGTCTGCATAACTAAGCTCCTAGCACCTTTCGGTTATAAACCAATTGCGCTGTCTTCTGCAATATAGGACCCCACGTATTCTCAAAATATGTTATGTTGTCACTTAAATAAAACAATCATTTTCGTTATTTTTGTATATTGAACTTCTTTAATTATGTAAAGTGTACAAGAGTTATAGTTAAATTGTGAGCATTTATTTTTACTAAAAACATAACTCAAGTTACTTAGATATAAAATAATGCTTCTCTGTGCCTGTATACAATGGCCTCATTACTCCCAGATTTTCTAGGAGATTATCAGTTTACAGTTAAACAGTCATTGATAAATTAAAGATTAAAGCTGTAAAACTTATTTGTTTATATGGCTATTAGTTACAAATATAACGATTTAAGTACAATGTAATTAAGGCCCATATATTTTGGTTTTAATGACGGCGAAGTATTTATGCACTGCCAGTGACTTGCTCCAGTTCTTGTTGGGTCTTGCGGAACTTGGCCAAGTTCAGGGCGGCGATCTCCTCGGCCTCCTCGATCTGGCGCTTGTAGGTCTTGATCTTCTGTTGCAGCTTGTCCACGAGGTCCTGCATCCTCTCGTGGTTCTTCTTGTCCTCTTCGGACTGGAAGGTGAGCTCCTTGATGCGCCTCTCACACTTCCTCAGGTTCTTCTGGGCATCAGCGTGGCGGCGGGATTCATCATCCAGCTGGCCTTCCAACTCACGAAGACGGCTTTCGAGCTTGCTCAAAGTCTTCCTGCCAGTCTTAGTGGCGTTGCCCTCACTTTCCTCAAGGCGAACTTGAAGATCCTTAATGGCAAGATCCAAGCCCTTACGAAGCTTCTCCTGGGTCTGGGCGTGTTCCTGTTCGGCTCGGAGTTCATCAGCGAGGCGGGCGGCGTCAACCATGGCCTTCTTGGCCTTATCCTCAGAGTTCCTGGCCTCGTTCAGCATCTCGTCAATATCAGACTGAAACAGGTAAGAAAAATGTTAAGTTATCAGAAATATTTTGTAGATATGTTACTGGAGATATTACAATTGTTTATTTACATTTACACAAATAAATAACTAATAATAAAAATGTTTCATTCGGTAAATAAAACTTACATGAAGTGTTGCCAATTCACCCTCCAACTTCCTCTTGGAAATAGCTAGAGAATTATTTTGACCCGCTGCACTGCCCAGTTGTTCATTAGCGTCACTGAGCTCGGATTCTGCCTGGCGACGACCTCGGTCAGACTGTTCGAGAAGAGTGCGGGACTCCTCCAGCTCACCATTCAGACCCTTGGCTCGGCGATCAGCGGCGCTATACTGTTCACGGTACTCGGAAGCAAGACGTTGTTCCTCCTCAGCACGGAGCTGCAGGTCCTTCGTTTCGGTCTGAAGCTTCTTGATGTACTTTTGGAGGTCAGAGTTGTTCTTACTGGAATGGTCCAGTGCTACCTCGAGTTCGCTAATGTCAGACTCTAGCTTCTTCTTCTGACGAAGAGCTTCAGCCTTGCCCTTGGCTTCGGCCTCAAGAGAAGACTGCATGGTTTCTATGGCACGTTGATGGACTTTTCTGAAATAGTGTATCACTAGGTAAGTAAGTTTATTTCCAATATAAACTGCATGTGATAACAATAATAATAATAATAATAATAATAATACAGATATAATAAGTGTAATCAGTATTAATACATTTAAAATAAAGTTAAATTCTTACCGAATATTGTCGAATTCCTCTTCTTTCTCTTGGATACGTTTGTCGATTTCTTGTTTAACTTGGCTGAGCTCGAGCTGACTACGGAGCACCTTATTCTCTTCCTGTTCAAGAGCGGCCTCAGCCTCCTCAAGGGCAGCTTGAAGCTCTTCTTTTTCAATTTCAAGGCGCTTGCTGCTCTTCTCTAGTTCATGGTAAGACCGTCCACTCTCGCTAATCTGATCCATCAGATCCTTGATTTCGTCAGCAAGGGTTTTGTTTTCACGGCGGACGGAATCAAGTGTTCCTAGATTTTCTTCATATGCAGCCTTTACACGGAAAAGCTCTGAAGAATAGTTGCGGCACTCCTTTTGTGACGAATCCAGTTCAACAGCAAAGTCATCAACCTTTATCTTCCATTCAGCAATGACTCTGTCAAAGTTCTTTTGCTTCTTTTCAGCGGAAATGGCCAAGTTTTGAGCACGTTCAGCTGAAATCTGTACTTCATCGAGTTCAGCGAGAATGCGCTGTCTTGCTTTGTCAAGGTTAATATTTTTAAGGTTCAGCTGTTCTATCTGGTTTTCTGCTTCCTCAAGGCGGGCAGCAAGCTTCAGGCGAGCAGCCTCAAGTTCTTCAGCACGAGCAACTCCCTCAGTTTCATACTTGGAACGCCACAGTTGAGCCTCAGCGCTGGCCTTGGACAATTGGCGGAGGCTATCAGCTTTACCCTCAGACTCTTCATCTAGCTGTTCGCGAAGTCCATCAATATCGTGTTCCAAGTTACGATACTTTCCAAGAATAGTTGCACGTTCCTGAGACGACAAAAATTCGTTTTATAAATGCCAGATATGATAAATGTTTGATGTATGTAAACAGTATAAATTTTAAATTAAATGTAATATTTAAATTCGTGCGTTGAAACCTTCCTTACCTTGCTCTCTTCCTCAGCATACTTCCTAGCGTCGTCAAGTTGAGCACTAAGAGACACCTTCAGCTTAGACAAAAGAGATATTTGGTTATCGGTTTCTTCCAGCTGTCGCAAAAGTTCAGCATTCTCAACTGCAAGCTTCTTCTTTGTAACATCGAAGTCATTCAAAGTTCGATTGGCTTCCTCGAGTCTGCCGAGAGCTTCGCTGATCTGTTGTTGAATTTGCTTGTTTGCCTTTTCAGCAGTAGCCTGGGAAAAATTGGATATTAAAAATTGACATTGTGTTTCTCGTCGCATAGTTACGAACCAAACAAGGCCAATAAATAATACAATTAAAACTTCAAAAAACGCCTAGAATATATAAATCTAATTTTATGTTAACTAAATTTCAAAACCTTTCTCTTCATATGGGGAAAATTTATTTCATAAGTTACAAATGAATGCACATGAACTTTACTGTTGTAACTGCTAACTTGCTGCTAAAATTGTACAAATTTTGCCCAAAAAATGCATTCAGAATAATAATTGTAGTATGCAATCTTAGGACGTAAGATTGTATACTACAATATGAATAATTGTATTATACAGTTTACACATATAAGGAATGCGTGTAAATAGTATGCAGAATAATGTCAAAACATCCGGTTGGTATTGAATTAAGAGGAGATATCAAAACTGCTACTAGATCTTACCTTATCCCGAGTAAGGCTATCCATTGCCGACTTTGCTTCATCAGCAATGCGTTTCAAAGCATCCTTCTCCTTTTCAGTTCTGTAGGGGGAAAAATAAGAAGCGCTTATAATAGTATACATGTATAATAGACGTGCGAGATGTAAGAGGTGCTGTAAAATTTTTAGTTTAGAGGCACGACTAATTGTTGCATTTGATGGGTATTGGAGAAGTGGTTAGTGTGTGTGTGCATACACGAGTGCTCGTGCTTAAGAGTACTTACTTGATTTTGCTTTTGTTGAGGTGGTCGATCTGCTCTGATATTTCAGCCACGGAATCATTATGCTTCTTGCGAAGAAGATTAAGAGCAGATTCATGCTGGATGGTCGTCTCCTCGATGTCGCGGCGGAGCTTGCCTAGCTCAGCATCTCGCTTCTTGTTCAGTTCCACCTGGGCAGCGGTGGCGCCACCAGCCTCGTCCAGGCGATCGCCGATCTCACTCAGCTCTCGTGCCAAGCTAGACTTGGTTTTCTCAGCCTTTGCTCGGGCCTGGCGCTCGTGCTCAACCTCTTGTTCTAGCTCTTCGATGCGTGATTGTAGCTCTTTAATAGACCTCTGGATCTTAGAGACATGACCTTGTTCTTCCTCCACTTTGTTGGCAAGAGTAGAGATCTCCTTATCTTTACGCTGGATAGTGTTCTCGACTTCTCTGTGATTACGCTCTAGGTCCCCAACGGTCTCTTGGGCCAGCTTAAGATCACCTTCAACCTTCCTCTTTGATTTTTCAACCTCAGCGCGCAGCTTCTTCTCGCGATCGATGGAGTCCTCGAGCTCATCGAGAGTCTGCTCGAGCTTCGTCTTCATTTTGTTGAAGTGGTTGCATTTGTCCTCGACGCCCTGGAGGTCTTCTGCGGTTTTCTGGTTGTATTCTTGCAGCTGTTTCTTTTCTTTGTTGACCTTATTGATGAGTTCCTCTTGATGGGCAATTTCCTCATTAAGGTTGTGGATCTGGTGGTCCTTACCAGCCTTTTCTTGCTCCAGCTTTTGGATGTTTAGTTCCAGGTCTTCGAAATCTCTCCTTAAAGCGTGCACCTCTTGTTCAGTCTTTTTCTTATCCTGGCCAAGGGCTGTACGGGCTTCTTCCTCTTTTTGTAGGCGGGTGGTGATATCCTATATAAAAATTAAGACATAAAATAAAATAGTTAAAATATATATATAGACTTGTACGCTCGCGTGTGTGTGTGTGTTTGCGTGCGTGCATCATAAATTATTTTGTATTGCTCTATAAATGTTATTATAAAAGTTTTTCTTTAATAAATAAATAAAATTAAATTCAGTCATCTGTAATATATTTATAATATATATCACTTAAGTTATATAACCCCTCAAGTTTGGAACCCAGACCGCCGCAGGTCTCCCTAATGCTAGGCATTATTTTAATAATAAATACTAAACAATGTTCTATAAGCTGTAACCTAGTTTTAACTTTCATGAAACTTACATTGAGTTGAGCCTCGAGTTCGGCTTTCTGACTCTGCAACTTGGCGCTTTGCTCAAGATACTCGGACATACTGCCTTTAGAAGATTCAAGTGTAGCCAAGAGGTTATTCTTTTCTTCTTGAAGAGCAGCATTTGCAGCTTCAAGATCTTGGCGTGTTTTCAGTTCATTATCCAAATTTTCTTGAGCTTTACCGGCCCTCTCCCTGAGACCTCTAATTATATCCTCAGGACGAGTGACGTGAAGAAGAGGCTTGACTTTCTGCCAGAGATTGAACCAAACCCAAGATTGCATTGAGACGAAGTTCCTCAACTGGCGTTGAACAACTACGAGGGCTACGCGCTGCTCCTGAAGTCTTCCATACTCCTTCCTGCCGGTGAATCCACGGATCCATGACTGCAGCCAGGTTATGATCTTACCCAGATGGGAGTCTCGGATCTCTTCAAGGGTACCCAGGACACCAGCCCGGAAGAACACCTGTAGGTAGACGAAACGTCTTTTATTGTTAAAATTTACGCTCGTATTGGTGTTTATGTAAATTGAGTAAGTGGTAAGCGACTGTCGATCGCACGTAAACACATAAAGTCAATTAACTTGATTTTGAGTTTAAGAAGCCGCATTAGTTTCAGTAATCTTTCAAAATGACGTAAAGATAAAGAAAACAGAAAGTACCAATGTCAAATTCGGCGTAACTGTGAATACTGTGACAGGGGTCTTGCTTTACATGAGGGTCTTAAGAACTTTGCTAAAATATGAAATCACAAGATTTTTCAATGCTAGAATACAACAGGGAAATAAAAACTAATTCTATGAATTACCTTAGTGTTACCCAGACGGTAGAGCTCTGGGTCTAATCCAGACTTATTGAAGCACACCTCGGCGGCCTTTTTATTATCCTCGATACTAGCCATCTCCTTGGAGGCCAGAATCTTGTAGCTGTGGAAGAAGTTGATTATTTGAATCCTTTTAGGATCAATTATCTCCCAATATACATGATGGTTAATAAAAAAAAGGCCACTGCTGATAATATAAATTGCAAAGTTAGTGATTCAACTTTATTAGAAGTTAGATAGTAAGCCTACTCTTCTTAAAATGTCGTTGACATGATCAGCTTATACGACTGGATACTGAAATCATATTTTTGTATTCCCTTTGTTTAGTATCTCTATCTGAATTTTGTTTAAAGAATTACTTTAATGTTAGTAACAGTCATGATACCTTCAGATACTTTCAAAATATAGTGAAAAATATAGTGAAAAATGTATATAACTATGCTATTATTAGAATAGGAAAGCAATGAATCGGGCAATCTTGCCCAAAACGCTATGCGTACTAGTGGCTTTACAAGAATGTTAATTCCACTTATTTTCTATATTCTCTGTTAACCCCCAATGTAACTTCTTGTATATAAATAAATAAATAAATGAAGTCTGTGAAAGATCTAGTATCAAGCTAATGGAAATCATATTTATCCCTGAGATTTCATATTTAATTATATATATTTGAGGCAAATTCCGGAAAACCGTATAATCGTTACCGATGCTTGAAGTCAGGGTACATCATCCTGTTGGGGAAGCCCTTACGACAGATACGGATGCCCTCAAGCACACCGTTACAGGTGAGCTGATGCATGATGAGGCCGGCCTCAGTCACACCTGAAGGAAGAAGTGTTTACAGTCTTAAACATGATAGAATGTTCCTCACAACAATTAAAGATGTAGAGAGGTGTTGGGTCTTTAAATTTCAATAAATTTATGTTTTCGTTATATAGGCAGTGCTTTTGACCAGGCCTATATTGGAATAGTATTAAAAACAAATGTATTTTAAGAAATTGTGAATCTCTGTACGGGAAGTCATTTGATTAAGAGCAAAATTACTAGGATTCAATAAAATACAAATACACTCTTTTGCACTTAAGTTTGAATCTCTTTCAACACAAACAGTTTTCCCCTTTGTGTTATTGCATGAATTTAGCTGAGCAATGGCTAGGTAACTTTGTCTTACAGTGTACACTGGATAATGATTATTTCCATTACAGTACTTGAATATGGAAAGGCATTCATTAATTCTAAGTTCCCGATAAATTCACGCACGAAATTTATGAATATGTTTCTAGAGTTAGCTAGAGACTCCTCACTGATGCCTGTTCACTCACCCAGGATGTATCTCGTTGGGGACGATACTGTGTTTATATGAGGCTACCTACCCGGGGACTTGGTCTCGTTGGGGACGATACTGTGTTTATATGAGGCTACCTACCCGGGGACTTGGTTTCGTTGGGGACAATACTGTGTTTATATGAGGCTACCTACCCGGGGACTTGGTCTCGTTGGGGACGATACTGTGTTTATATGAGGCTACCTACCCGGGGACTTGGTCTCGTTGGGGACGATACTGTGTTTATATGAGGCTACCTACCCGGGGACTTGGTTTCGTTGGGGACAATACTGTGTTTATATGAGGCTACCTACCCGGGGACTTGGTTTCGTTGGGGACAATACTGTGTTTATATGAGGCTACCTACCCGGGGACTTGGTTTCGTTGGGGACAATACTGTGTTTATATGAGGCTACCTACCCGGGGACTTGGTCTCGTTGGGGACGATGCATCGGATGAAGTGGGGGTGAGTAGAGTTAAGGGTCTTCATCAGGTTGTTGAGCTGCTCCTGTGGGAGAAATCGTCACGACGCTTAGCGAAATGTGTTGCAAGGATAATACTAGCAAAACAAGAATTTAGTGTTGGTATTAATGTCATACCTAGTATCAATAAGATAGAAAATTGTCAAGCATATGCTGTAAAATACATGTGAGGCCACATACAGATGTTGGCTAGATATTTCGTTTTCTGACTTACCTCTGATGAAAAGTAATTATTAATTAAGTAATTGTACTTAATAGGCTGACTGTGCGCTGTTAAAAATATTCATACTTAATAATTATAATAATCACTTTATTTAAGGATATCAACGAAAATGTTATTATATATCTTGAATTACACTAAAGTTCCGTTATCTACATTGTTTTTATTTAAAGATTAATTAAGTATGTAAAAATTTAATACGTCAGCGTACAGCCCTGATAATATAATGTCTACTGAATAAAGTTCGCTGGAAAATTGGTACAATAGAGAAGGCAAGCCAAACGTACCCTGTAGGCAGAAGAGACAGTCTTGAAGGAACCAGATTTTGCGCCGCGGCCACCTGAGAAATAACATGTTTATTTCTGAGTTACTATATACTATATTTGTATACTATATACTATATTATATATAGACTAAATATAATATATTTTTGCTAACTTGAACTATCATCATAACATTACTTATAATACTCCTTTGTTTTCAGAACCCGTATTTCGCTTCAACAATCATTTGTTTTCAGAACCCGTATTTCGCTTCAACAATCATTTGTTTTCTGAACCCGTATTTCGCTTCAACAATCATTTGTTTTCTGAACCCGTATTTCGCTTCAACAATCATTTGTTTTCTGAACCCGTATTTCGCTTCAACAATCATTTGTTTTCTGAACCCGTATTTCGCTTCAACAATCATTTGTTTTCTGAACCCGTATTTCGCTTCAACAATCATTTGTTTTCTGAACCCGTATTTCGCTTCAACAATTAATTACCCAAAGCCTTAGAGCTACTAGCGTTGGTAAACAAGTTTCATACAAGTCAGATGATAACCGAGATTTAAGTAAAGATGTCTAAAGTCCTGTTTATAAAACAAAACATTTTGTGAAGATAAGTGTCTACCGTCAAGTCACCAGGCGAAGTAAGGACTCTGAAAAGAAAGAAAATAATTGTTACTTACACTTACATAGTAAGGCATAGTAATTTATATAATAAAGTTTCAGTTTGTTTATATAAACGACAGTTTGCAAATAATATTAAAAGTTACTGAGGAAACATTGTTAATAATGCGCTCGAGAGAAAAGCGGAAGATATATAATATTGAATACATAAAATTCAATGAATACCTACCACCTTTGCCAGAGTCAGCTGGGCCCGACTGCCCGGGATGGTCAGCGAAAAGCAAGACAATGACTTCATTGCGAGACTTCTTGAGCTGGTCGACGACGGTGTCGTTGAGGGGATCCTTGTTCTTCTCCAGCCAGCCACTCAGGTTGTAAGTGACAGTACCGGCATAGTGAACAATGGCGAAGTGGCCCTCGACTGCTCCTGCCTTGGGTGGCTTGGGCTTGATGAACACGGGAGACTTGCCTAGATGGTTGGCGTTCAACTTCTCCTGGAAGGACTTGTCGGTAGCCTTGGGGAACATAGACTCTTCCTCTAGGATGGAGAGCAGACCCATTTTCTGTAGAACATTAATATATTCGTTACTCCTTCAGAGGTACTTTTGAAATCGCGAAGACAATGTAACTGGGAACTTTCTTTTTTTCACATGGCAGTTACTGGATAATAAATACGGATAATGACAGTGATATAACTGTAAAGTTCATTAATGTGAATATTTATTATGGCGAAACTAAAAAAAAAACAGAATTTTGTTACGAAAATATTAATTACTAGTGATTATTGTGACAGAACCACTTCGAGTCAGATTAAAAAGCAGGATATTATTTATGGAAAACATTTTGCAAACAAAAAGCATATGATTAGTATATTCAGTGCAAATTTCAGATGAAATTTCTTGAGTGCCAGTATATTTAATATTAAGTTGTCTTGTTTAATATTTTAAATATGCAGACAAATACAAATTATAATTTATAGTCATTGCCATATATATATCCAGAACGAAAAATCGATAATGATTGAAAACACTTAAATATATATATATTTATAAACGTGGTTTATATAATGACTATAATTAAAATTTAAAAATTTCCAGTAGACGCACTTTAATTATTATTGTTTAAATATTGTATCTACATGTTTACTATTGTAATCAATTAGCTTGAATAGTGTTTAAGTCATATACCATAAAATCACATGCTAGAAAAAGCCTACAAGATAATATTCGAATGTTCTCAATGTGAAGACATTTGAATAAGAAAGTAAAATACCTTCTCGAAGAGCTCGATGCAAGCCATAAGATCCATACCGAAGTCGACGAAGACCCAGTTAATACCTTCCTTCTTGTACTCCTCCTGTTCCAGCACAAACATGTGATGGTTGAAGAACTGCTGCAGCTTCTCGTTACAGAAGTTGATACAGATCTGCTCGAAGCCGTTGTACTGTTTGGGGCAAATGTTCATATCAAATTCAGAAATCGTAAGTGCTGTCAAAGCATATTTTTATTGTATGCATGTTTAATACACAGATACATATTTGTATCTTGATAAATACTATGATGGAGTATAAGCTAAATTATTGTATTGATTGTGAATTGATTTTCTCCTAAGATGAATTTAATTTGTTTCGTATATGTTTAATTGAAACTAGCATTGTTAAATATATATAATCCATGGACCATATCATACTGAAGAGTGAACGATGTGTTGTCAAAGTTACTCACGTCGAAGATCTCGAAGCCAGCAATATCGAGGACACCGATGAACATAGCTCGCTTCATGCCAGTCTCAAGAGTAACGTTACACTTGGTTACAAGGTACTTGAACAGGCGATCGAACAGACCCTTGGCCAGGGCACCGACGGAGTAGTAACACTGATCCACGTTCATGCCCTTGGACACGAACTCAGCTCCGACCTTGATCTTAGGCTTGGTAATGTTCCTGTACAGGTCGGCGCCTTCAACACCAAGTACGCCAGCAACAATGTCACCAACCTAACATATCAGAATGAAGATAATAGTAAGAAAAGGATCCACAAATGAATGTTTTATGGATCATTTGATGTTTTGGTTCATACACCACTAAACACCAGTATAACAGACTGGAGGATTACCTCAGTGCCGTCGGGTTCAGCCTGCTCCTCGCGACCCCTCTGCTTGAACTTCATCTCACCCATGTGCATGACGGCAGCCGTGATCTTGTAAACATTCTCAATTTCTGTCTTGTTGAAGCCAAGGATATCAAAAGCGTCCTGGAAATAGAAATGTTGCGTGAAAGATCTCCTTTGACATCATATAATTGGTAATATAGTTTTTAGAGAGCTTATATGCGTACAGATAAACAAAATAATCATAATTATTTAATTCTTGTTTCAATGTAAAACATTACATTGTAATGTTTTCCAATGTAAAACATCCAATTGGAGCAGAGTAAATATCCCATAAGAGAATACCTGACAGGGTATAAAGGAAGACTGAACTTTTTAAATACAAAATTGCATGATATTATCTGTTTCTTTAAATAAATACTCATGCTACATATTAATGAAGAGAATGTTAGGTGCTGAGGTTTAACTCCTACAGCCATTATTGATTTGTCATAAATCTTACACCTATTGATGGCTTGGCTTAGAATCCTACACCCATTGATGGCTTACATTCCTGCACTCACTGATGGCTTACATTCCTACACCCATGGGTTACACTCATTAATGTCTCGGACTACACTCCTACGCCCAGTAATAACACTCACGTGACAGAACTGCATGTCTTCGCCGTCATCAATGGAGGGGACGGTGACCTTGCCCTGAGACACGTAGTGGTAGTCGTAGATGTCGTCACTAAGACTACACATGGCTGAGGAGAGGAAGAAGAAGGTTAGTGATGATTTATAAAGATGAACAAATGCATTTTCTCTCGCAATCTTGGGATTTCGATCTCTGTGAAACAAATATTGTGGCAAATAATTAATGATTGTGTGCTATCTTCCGTGTTAGCATTGCACATTATGATTAGAAGTGGCCATTGTAAAAATTTAGTCAAACCGCTATATTGAAAGATCCAATCGAAGTTGTTTTTAAATGTAAATATAAAAAGTCCGGCTGATTATTCTCTCAGGTTTGGACTTTCAACGAGTTTTAAAACTGAATACATAAAACAAAAGGGGACAGAATATCGATTAATCGTCTTAGAATTCCTCGATATTCAAACCAATCCATAAGAGGAGCTTCCCTACGCAACAACACAACTCACTTAACAGAAGTTTTCTCTGCTTCATCAGCGGAGGAGAAAGTAATGTTGTTCCCATATTGCTGTAAGTTAGAAAACATTTATTTAAATGATAAAATATGAAAGTAATCAGATTAAACATTTTTGTCTGTATTGTTTTTGAGGAATGAGAAGGGATATAATATAGAAATTTGGAAATATGATAATTTTCGTATTGGCAAGGCGTGAATGATGCTTCAAGAAAGTATTGTTATTATTATGACATAAACTGGGCGGGTGGTCCAGCGCTGGGACCTAAGGTTTGTTGAGTGATGTATATCTTGAAGAGACACATCAAGCTAAGAGAAGATTTTATTGGCAATGACGTTAGTAGACGATTGACGCTAACGTTTTTGAAGTCTCGACTATCCAAACGTTGCCTACAATAACGTTTGATGAAACCTTTCCAAACCCTAGAGTAAAAACGTTAGCTACAATACAGTCTATTTTCAACTTGTCATTATATCGTTGTCAACACTTCGCCGCCAGCTCACCCAAGGTATACCGTCTTTAAATAATGTTAAAATGCGTTGGCATCCAGACTTTATTCATAAATATTTATTCCAAAGAAGTAAATATTTCATTTTCAGCAAGGTGTTACTGCTAATCTAACTCTAGCATAAACAATTATGAGTTTGACACATCATATAAAGTATGACTTGTCAAAATATAATTTTAAGTGTAATCTTAAATATGACGTCACTGCTAGGCATACAGTGCCATGGACGTACTGAACGTGTATTGATTGGGCGAATTTTACGAGCAAAGACTTAAAACAGAATGAATATGTCCGGTACCTTTAAAGGCTTTAGATATTTTTGCAACTTGATCTAAAAGAGTTTTAACGCTCACCTCTGCACGAAATATATATATTAATCTTTAATAATTAAAATGTATAGGTTCAGGGTATTAATATTGAGCATAAACATATAGATAATTGTGATTATGCAAAAACACTTACGTTTAATTTCCTTGACTTGGTCGGACATCATCTCGTAGAAGATATGGTAGGAGCGCTCAAGAGGCTGCTGGGAGATGACGCGAGCCTTCTCCAGCAGGTAGACCTCAATGTCAGCACCGGCCAGCTTGCCGTTGGGTTGGAAGTGGATACGGATGAACTTACCCTGTGTGGAGAACAGAGTCCATCACTAATCAAGGAGCATAAAAATATTAAACGCCACAGGTTAAATTTGTTGATAGATCAGTAAGAACATTCCCCGTGTAAAATAGCAGAGAGTAAGAGGAACTCACGAAGCGGGAAGAGTTGTCGTTACGGGTGGTCTTGGCGTTACCGAAGGCTTCCAGTACAGGGTTGGTCTGGATGATCTGGTCCTCCAGGTTCTGAAATGTGAGAGATGCTTTAGTATTGCGTTCTGGCTGCACACATACATTTATATACTGTATATTTTACCCACTTCGATAATTTATTCACACACACACACCCAGGGGGGCCGGTGGCTGTTTGGATAGCACGCTGGGCACGTAATCATGTGGCCCGGGTTCGATTCCCGGCCCCGGTGAGAAACAAAAATGGGCAGAGTTTCTTTCACCCCGATGCCCCTGTTACCTAGCAGTAAATTGGTACCTGAGAGTAAGACAGCTGTTACGGGCTGCTTCCTGGTGTGTGTGTGTGTGTGTGTGTGTTTGTGAAATAAAAAAAAATAATAGTTAGAAACAGTTGATTGACTGACAGTTGAGACGCGGCCGAAAGAGCAGAGCTCAGCCCTTTGAGTTACCTAACTAAACAGTTAAAAGAAAATTACTTTCTAAAAAATATATATAATAAAACTGATAAATAATTGTCGTTTCTCACCCCCTTGGACTCTGCTTCAGGCTTCTTCTTGGAGGTGGTGGCGCCGACGTTGGCGAAGTAGGAGAGTACCTTCTTGGTGTTCTCAGTCTTGCCGGCACCGGACTCACCGCTGTGGAAGGAGAACGGTTTTGTTCAGTTAATGGGAGTCACGACTCTCATAAGCTATGTAAAATAACGTTTGACAACATTTCAGTTTTCATTATATTCTTTCACGTGAGCTGTAACAATTGCTCTTAGAAAATTGTAAGTTTACAGCTAATTATCGTTATTAAAAGTAAACTGCAATTCTGTATTTGACCTCAAGTCAGGAACATTAGTTATGTCATTAAAGCATACAAATAGTGTGTACTATATTAGAAATTTAGACTTACGTGATGAGCATAGACTGATTTTCACCATCTGTAAAGAAGGAGGAGCCATTAGATTAAATATATTTACTTGTCTGTTACAGTGATACAATTTTATTGCATGGAAAATCAAGTTCAAACCTACTTAAATTAAACTGTTGTTAGCAGAAATATGTCTCACCCTGAATCATGTTCATGTAGGCGCCGTCAGAGATAGCGAAGAGATGGGGAGGCACTTCATTACGCCTCTTGCCCTGATAGATCTTGACCACGCGGTTGGTGTAGATGGGGTAGCGCTTGTAGGGGTTGATGGCGATACAGAAGAGACCGGAGTAGGTGTAGATGAGCCTGGCAACATAACGGGACTTCAAGTTGTACAGGACGGAAGCATCGTTAAGGTAGGTCAAGTTGGACATGTCCTCGCATTTCTCGTACTTGGGAGGGTTGACCTGTCCCACTTGATCCTTCTTCCAGTTCTTGGTCTCACCAGCGGCATAAACGGTGATAAGGTCACCCTTGGTGCCTTGAATTTCGCCTTCAATGAAGCCTTCCTTGGGGTCAGGAACCCAGCAGGACTTCTTGGCGTCGTAAGGCTTAGTGGCATCCTGCATCTTCATCTCCATAGATATGAACAAAAACTCGGTGGGGTCTGGGTCAGGACCCGTGCTCTTCTTGACGTGGCCGGGCATGTTGGTGGTGGGTGCCTAAAGTTGTCGAAGTAGGTCTTAAACTTCGATGGTAAAGTTCTTTCGAGTTATCCTGCAAGCAAAGGAAAAATTGGGTTGAGACCTAATGAACAATATTTTGGTGTACGTTACTCAAAATTGGTGTCTCAGTTCCAGCCCGTTCTCAGGATTTAACAAGGGTTTAATATGAAGTAGTTTACCCTAACCAGGAGTGTTCGAAGTGTGTTAATTCAACCGATCGCGACTAATTTTCGTTAATACCAGAAAGCATTACGGTGCTTTCAATATTAGCACCGTAATATTGAAAGCATCAATAATACGGTGCTTTCAGTTTTACTGAAGCACTTAAATTTTGACAACAGCGTCAAAATTGTAATGCATTAAAAACGAGGACGAGTTGCCCAGTTTTCTCTATTAGAATGACCCACTTCGCATGATCACCTGTCTGGATAACTATACTGTGCTTACAAATTATTTGTGTGGCTTCGTCATCATACTGGTATAGGGAGGGAACCACAACAAGAATCATCCTAAAAGTAAGAATAACTTCCTCAGAATGATTCAGAAGACGACAGTGGTGCTGTTGATGCGTATGGGTTACTCTTACTAGTTTAAATTTGCCTCACAGAGTGCAAAGTCTTTCAATACTCTGACTTCCCATAGCACATGAATTTCTGAATGTAATTTATACTGAAGATTTCCAAAGGCTCATCAACTGCAAATATATCTGCAATGTGTTCACAGCGCCAGACTGTCACAGACTCATAACTGAGTACTTATAAATGACCCTTCAGACATTGACTATCTGTCAATGTACACCCGAAGGCATACTCACAGACTAATAACAATATATGCTAGAAGCAAGTATTATGCTCTAATATACGCTCTTTAATTCATTAGACTAATACTCATGTTTTCAGATTAAAAAAAAGACTTGTAGGCGCTTATTATGTAGAAGAAAGTGTGTATAACTTTCCTTATTAAGATTACTCATAGCCCAGTCGATAGGGCTTCGACCACACAAGCGTGAGGACCACGGTTCGAGTCTCCTACAGCCCAGGTGAATGGAATAGAAACTATGTATAACTGAGTCTGATAAAAACGGATTACAGAAAAAAAAATCACAGGATTTCAAAAGCGAAACTAACTCCCTTTCCCCGAAGGAAAACTTACGACACGCTTCACTGCACTACCACCAGAACACCACCGTCTCAAGCACCCACCGGAGCGCGTCTGAAGGAGACCAGCAAGCAACGGACCAGGTCAGTTAGGCCCGAGACCAAATGGGAAGTGGGGAAGGGGAGAGGGGGGAGGGTGAGTGGAGCGGGGGAACTGGCAAGCAAGTACCAAGCAAAAATAGCAGCAAGCGATCACACTGACCATCTCCTTTTCGAGCTGAGGACCACAGTACTCTCAGATGCATTCTTCTCTTACACACTGCACGTTACAAGTGAACGGTCATTGCATAACTTAACCGGGAGATGGAATGGGTTTGCATATTCACCTGCGCACATACACACACACAAGATCTCAAAATGGTGGAAAAGAGGCTACAATATCAAAACAACTATGGTTCTTGGATGTCACTGCAAAAGTTGACAAATAAATTGTTAACTAGGAGCTTTGGGGATATATATATATATATATATATATATATAAGTGCGTTCTGGCTACTAGGTACGACATATATATATATATATATATATATATATATATATATATATATATATATATATATATATATATATATATATATATATATATATATATATATATATATATATGTCGTACCTAGTAGCCAGAACGCGCTTCTCAGCCTACTATGCAAGGCCCGATTTGCCTAATAAGCCAAGTTTTCCTGAATTAATATATTTTCTCTAATTTTTTTCTTATGAAATGATAAAGCTACCCTTTCCATTATGTATGAGGTCAATTTTTATTTATTGGAGTTAAAATTAACGTAGATATAGGACCGAACCTAACCAACCCTACCTAACCTAACCTAACATATCTTTATAGGTTAGGTTAGGTTAGGTAGCCGAAAAAGTTAGATTAGGTTAGGTTAGGTAGGTTAGGTTGTCGAAAAACAATTAATTCATGAAAACTTGGCTTATTAGGCAAATCGGGCCTTGCATAGCAGGCTGAGAAGTGCGTTCTGGCTACTAGGTACGACATATATATATATATATATATATATATATATATATATATATATATATATATATATATATATATATATATATATATATATATATATATATATATATATATATATATAGATGAATACATACACACATACCACCTAATTCTCACAGTGAATGACTCGGACATAGTGAAATCAGCTATGATATTCCAATAATAATGAGAGGCGACGGTTATCAAAATTTCCCGCTTAAGCGACCTTCTTTACAGGCATAAAGGACAGATTCAAAGGGACCTGCGTGACGCAGGGGTCTGGCACCCACCGGCACGGGTAGACTGACCATACCCATCCTATACACGTGCCCACTCTGGCTGGGCCGATACGGAGACAGCTCGACAACCTGTGGAGGTGTCATATGGTTAATCCTGTGCTTAAACGACACATACGAAGAGCACCTAGCCGAGAAAATTTTGTTCAGCGTAAACCGCCGATGTTCTGGAGTTCCTGGCGGATAGGTAAATCACTGGCAAACATCTTGGTGGAAGCCCATTTCTCTAGGAAGCAATGTGATGGGCCTAGGGATAAATAAATACAGACAGTAGCCGTCCTTTGGAGGCTAGGGGGGAGGGTACCATATGTGTATCGGAAGTTAGCATCTACGAGGTTGGTAGGACTCCATCTTGCATACTGTTTAGCACTCTTTTCTACCCTTTCATCAACGATTGGCCACGTAAGTGATGCAATCCCTCGTGTCTGTGGAACCTTCCAAACCTTTGAACGAAGTTAATTTTAAGGTGTTCTGATTTCAGAGAGTTTCACTTTTAACATTTAATCACATAAAACTAACACACAGAGGAAGCCGTTGAAACAAAGGAACTATTCGTAACCTTCTGAGGAAGCCACGAGATCCAGGATAATGGAAAACATACAAGCTGGAACCCAATATTGCTGTATTTAAAATAATAATAATGAATACGAATGTCGGGGACTAGTACAATGCCAAGAAACTTCAACCTGTGGTGCGGTCTACACTATAAACAAGCGGTAGTTATTTAATTTAGTTCTTTATAATATGTTTTTTGTATCTACATATTGTAAGGGCGAAATTTGCTTCCATCAACCCTTTACCCATATATGAATTTATCTAAAATCTTTCATCCAGTCCTTTGATCCATTTATTAAGAGAGCAAAGATGAGCTCCCATACTCATACTCAAAGATGAGTATCCTTGTTAAGTTTCTTATAGTTCTGGGGGCTCTTTTTTTAAGAAAAAGACGGTTCATCTTTTGTGGTGATCTAGTTTTTCTTTACATAACACATTCAAAAATACCATAGAAATATACCATAAAAGAAAAATACCATAAAAATACCATAGCCAATTGGCTGACTTTCCGGAAGAATTAAAGGGAACTGATAGAGCTAAATGGGAGCTATATTATGACAATGATCTTATAGATGAGGCTGAACTTGGTGTACTGGCCTGTATGTCAAGGGAAGGTGTGGCTCGCAGAGTGCCTGGGTGGTTTATTGAAGGCTCCAGTATATGATACGTTTTAGTAGAAAATTGTACCTCTTTTGTGGGTCATGTTAAGATATCTGATAGTCATAACTTCCTGTTGTGTATCGTGTAATATTTGGGAGTGCTGAGGCACCAAGTGAAATAAGTCTGGATAGTTGGATGTGGTTTAATATCTTATAATTACTTGTTAACGAGTGATTTAAGTATTTTACTTGCGGTACTTTCTGATAGGTCCTGCAATTAACCTGGACTTATTAACTTGCACCATTATTAATTGTATAATATTGTATTTTGTCTTATATTGTCCCAATTACAGTAGTTGTATTTTAACCCCCAATAGTTTTAATCATTTCATATTTTAAATTATATAGTAATAAGATTCTTCAACACATGCTAGAGGGGAATGGGGGCCAGGCCCATTTTGGAGACGACTGAAATCACTGAGATTAAGTATTACTACTCATAGCATGGAAGCTATGAGTCGTAACACTCACATGCGAATCGTTGCTCACATGTACGTGGGGAACATCCACCATTCGAATAGGTTTGAACCCTAATAGGATAGGTTCGAACCCTCCTCACATTAGTGTTATTTTCAGAGTGCACCAGTGCTGTTTCAGGACACCTCTTCCTCGTATGCTATTGGATGGACGGGGATTAACCACAGTAAAATTGACCTAATTTTGTTAATTAAAAAGTCAATATAATAAAAAGTCAATACTATTTGAAGTACTATTCAAATAGTACTTCAACATAGTTGCTCGTATATATATATATATATATATATATATATATATATATATATATATATATATATATATATATATATATATATATATATATATATATATATAGTATAAATGAAGTACTGTTTGTAAAGTACTATTTGAAGTACTTTACTTCTCACAGAACATCAACCTCTGCTCACGCCACACAGGCCAGCCACAGCCTCTGCCAAAATACCTCTTCTTGCAATTTGTATTTTCGCTGATTTCTAGATATCTTTCAAATTGTTTAACTACTTGTATTTCTCTAATTTGTCTTTAACTAAACCAAAATACTATTTTAAAACATATGTAAGCCATCTTGAACTTATTTTTATTTGTTTATGAATTGAAGTATGAGTGAAAGTTAGTCGATCCCAAGGACGGTTTCTCACTCGGTATTCCATGTTTGGTTAGGCTCACCCGACACTCGCCTGCCTGCCTGCCTGCCTGCCTGAAGCAAGCATCAGAATCATTATCATGTTGTAGTGAGCCCAACATTTGAATGTGTCTGTGTTAAATAATTTGATATTCAGCTAATAGTTCCCCATTTTATTCATTCATTCACGTTTCGGTTATTACAATAATATCTAATGTTTCTCTGCTGACCAGAGCATTAAAATCATTATTTTGTTTTAAACTCGTATTTGTGTAATACACCTTAAGAGTATTGTTATTTTGAGGCCCGTCTCTATCCCTGTTCCTGTTATCCAAACCTTTTTCCTGCCAACCCATACTTCTGTTGCCTCCTTTCCTAAATCCATTCCCATACCACTATCTACTAACATTTTAACCCCAAACTAACCCCTCCAACCACAGATACCAACGAATTGGCAACAGCAACAATGCCCTAGATAAATGAACCCTCATCTCGAGCATACATATCAGTCCTTACATTGAAGTGTTCCCAGTTATCATTGAATGATATTGCATTTGATTTACCATATTTGTCTAGTCAGCAATTGTTTCCAAGTGCCTAAGACAACCATTCATTTCCAACTCCCCTTCTAGGAAGAATACCACATATAATCGGGATCTCACCATTGCTCCTAATTAATTCGATGGCTGTCTTAAACCTCTGCATTAGTGCCTATCTCTCTTAACTTGTCCTACTACATTTCCACTGGCACTGAAACAAATAACGGGTTTGTTCCCCTTTCCCCAGGTACAATAATATTCATATTGTTTACAATATCTCCTGTTCCCGCTCTCAGAGAGACCCTTAACCCATTTTCCCTATCTCTGGCACTAGATGTCTTGTCCCAAGAACAACTCACCTCAACGCAGCTATACGCAGATATTCTATATTATGTTAAAGCTGAACAAATCCCTTGTGTTATGTTAAAGCTGATTTCCTTATGATTAGTGTTCCTTATTTAGAAGTTATTTATTTGTGTCTCTTAGTTAGCACTAAATTTAAAATGTTATTTTCCCGTACTTGCTCATAAATATTTTCTTCCTTAAATATTTTAAGGAAGCAACTATCAATATGTTGACCAGACCACACACTAGAAAGTGAAGGGACGACGACGTTTCGGTCCGTCCTGGACCATTCTCAAGTCGATTGTCAAGTCGGACAATCGACTTGAGAATGGTCCAGGATGGACCGAAACGTCGTCGTCCCTTCACTTTCTAGTGTCAACATATTTCAGCCACGTTATTGTGACTCCTCGTCTGCAAACAACTATCAACTAATTCTAAAAAATCTTCTGCTCTACCATAGATGAATGAGGCTAAATAGTACCTTCACTGGATGTCTTCCGCAGAAGCGAGTTCATTCCTCCTAAACAGCAGTCAGAACTTAGTTGCATTCTTTTCCCCGTTGTTTTCCTGAAGCAACGGGGGAAAACGACTTTGGAAATTACGGGCTATTCATGCCCGTGCCACCTCTTGGGTGGCT